CATTTACGTGCGCTACCACTACATAACCAGGAATTTAAAGAAAACTTTCTTCCTAATTCATATGTTTTTTGTCAATTTCATCTAATCTGGTGTTATTGAAGAGGCAAAGCCCACTTCTGAGTTAGTAGATCTCCTTGTGGAATCAGCTGTAAGCAGATGTCGATGGCAGTTGTAGCGCAAAGCTCTACCCTACAGACAGCGGACCAGTCGGCCAGTCGCCCGAGTATCTGCAATGTGCCAGTTTTTACTATAATTTCTTATAGAAATCATCGTCCTGAGTCAAAAGTCATGTCCCAGCGGGAGAGATTCTGTAAAGGGGGAAAAAATAAAAGAATAGGAGGTCATGAAAAAAGGGGGAAATAAAGGTTAACAGATTTTACGAGTGGAAAGAAGGCACTGTAGTAGGCGGAACATATAAAATGAATAAAATAGTTAAAATCGTACTTCAAGCGCTGCTTGCTGTATAGACATATCTCGAGAAGCGAGGAAACGAAGCATACATTTCGCCAGTTGCACCCGAACAAATAGCGAAGCTGTCTCCGCATCATGGATCAACTTCTGGGTAACGTCTTTAAAATAAATTTTGGATTTGCTTGCTCTTGTTTGAGGTAGAATCGAAGTGGAGTAGAGAACTCACTAAGAAGCAATCCAGCTGCTTGAGCATACTCAGTCTCGTAGTTTAAAAAATTTCTTGAGAGGTAGCTAGCGAACTATTGATAAAATCTTTTAATAAATCATTCGAATATTCAAAATGCAATTCATCAAACCTGAACATAGTTATGATGTTCTTTGACGGAGTGAAATACACTAATACAGCCACGATCACGGAAAAGAATTCGAGCTAGTCGTAACACCTGACAGACCGATTTACGGTTAGGGCAAGAAGCTGTCCATTTTCTAAAACGTAAATGAATATATTATTTATCCGGGCTTAATCATAGATTTGTCAAGACCTAAAACCCATATTGAGCAAAAACAAAACAAGATTGATGAAAAAATAAGATTGCCTAGAAATGTCGTTAAATTGCTTTACAGCTGTTGAGATCTGATTCTAGCAGTATCAAGCTATAGAGAGGAGCTCAACATTGTCAAATAATTTTGTAAAATTATATTGGAAGCTCACATATCTATGTAATGGTGCTTCTGTTTAGCTGGGTACAAATGTGCTCCTCAATCATTCAGCTGCTGCATTTATGACCAAAAAAATATCCAAAAATTCCCAGTAAATAGTCTTTTTTGAGGTCAACATAAGAAACGAGTGGACCTTTGGGCTGGTGTTTAATTTCTCACTCGCCCTTTTCTCGGTTCTCATAGATGATAGGACTTGTTGGTCAGGCATCAGATTAAAACTATACTTTAAACTTTTCCGTTTTTCATTTTAATTTCTTCGATCCTTTTGATTTCACTATATATTTTATGAAGCTTGGAATCAAACTTATTACTTAACAACTCAGTTTTAGGATTGTTGAACTCACAAACTACAGAGCCTCCTTCTAGAGAGTGCTTCGGTGAGCTTTCCGGCCACTCCACTTGATATCAGCTGTGAGCAGGTAGATTCTGTTAATGTCTCTCTAAAAAAAAGATGTATTGGAGATAATTGTTGCTGTCTTGATTAATTGATCCTTTTTAGCACTAACAGGAAAATTTGGCTAAAAATTGAGCTTTTTACTCAATTGTCTACCAAATTCTGCAAGATCATTGGAGATTTCGCAACAGTTTAGATACCCAGTGAAGAATTTGCTCAATAATGCGGGAGCGTCTTCGGAACTTTTTCGGAAAAAGAAAAAAGGAAAGTCACTTTTTCTCATTATGACCACCTTTGGCATCTTGTAAAAATCACTCACAATAGCGCCGACAGTGCCTCGAGCTCATGCCGAACTTCCGATGGGGTTTGCTGTTCTTGAGAGAGGCAATAGAGAACTTGCGCTACCGGAGTTACCATAGAGCCGATAAAGAAACGTTCAACGATTTGCTTCACTCATTGGGTGGAAG